CAACATTTTGTCAACAATATTCAAAAATAATACCTATAAATAGTTTAAAATGAGAGTAATTTTTTTTTTTTAATTTCACTGAGTACACAAAATAATAATTTAAATAATAAAAAACCTTCTAAGATTAGTTGTTTAAATGTTATAAGTTACAACAACATTATAAATCAATAAAGGATGGCAGCATATGAGTTGTATTGTTCACACAGAGTTGTGAATTAATCAAGAACAAAAAAGTTACAACAAAACTAAAATCATTTGATGAGAATTCATTATTTTACACATAAATATCAATTTCATCGAAACTTAAACCTTAGATGCTCATAAAAAATATTTGTAGAATTATGCTCAACTTCTTTTTTTTTCCAATAATAATAACTTAAAAAAATGTTATTGATATTTATAGAAGATTATTAATGTTCTTAGATAAATATTTGGTGAAATAGTTTTTCAAGCCACTACAACTCTATTCACTTATTAACAAATGTGCAGTGAATTTTTTGTTCTTCCCCGTATATATTAAAGAGTATAATATACTATTATACAAAGGAATTTTTTACTTTTAAGTAACAACTAAATCACCTTTGCTACCACAGTCTCTTACTTTGTTGCGATAACAATAATACTCCCATTTTATAACAGGGTTGTTGAAAATTTTACCCTTTGTGTAACATACTGCTTAAAATAAGAGTTATTTTGGTTGACTCTACATAATAATCAATAATTTGTATACTCACAAACACAACCATTATAAAGAATGATGCAATATATGACGTTCTAGCCATCCAAATGCTCACAAATCTGTAATGTTCCCCAGTAATGACGTTTCTGAAATATTAAATTATTATTATTATTTACATAATAGCAATAAATTAAAATTATTTACAACAAACCATAAGTCTTTGAGAGAGAATCTTTACCTCAGAAATCCTTTGTTTTGTTCATTTTCAGCTAGTGATTTAACGGAAGACATCAGTAAATCATCGTAGCCAAGGAAATACTCCAAGAAAAACTGGCCAATAGAATCGCCAAAACACTTGTTCCGAGTAGGCTCTAAGGCTACTAGMATAACAGGAATACCTAATCGATTTCTAGCATTGGGCGACAAACGCAAGAATCCGTACTCCAATGAATATTCAACAATGTAATTCTCGTAAAATATTACTAAAAAATAAAAAAATGTAAGCATTATCATTGACAAATCTCATTCAAGCCCATTTTACAACTTGTAAAATATATATACCATCATTTTCATCAATCGGAGGTGATGTAGTACTTGTCGACTGGAATAATGAACTAGTATCGATTCCCAATACACCTCTAATAGAACTGTTTGGATACTGAAAAAGATTATTATATTTTTATGTTTATAAAAAGAAATTCAAATATAATAGAACAAGTACCTTGGTAGAACGAAATTGTGCTGAGTCTTCATCTACTGAAAAATTTGATTTACTAGTGGTATGACGATTTGCCTTAGTAGTAGTGCTAAAAATTTCTTTTTTTTCATCTACACAAAAAAAAAAACAGAAAAGAAAAAATAAATGTACATAAAAAATATTTGTCACTATGTAAATATATGATAGATTACCAATTGTGAATAGCCCTTGATTTTTTGGTTTGGATAAAATTATTTTTAGCACTTAGAAATATATTTTAAGGGGACTGCCAATTATTCAATTATAATAAAACCATTTTATAATTTCTGAAACTATTTGAAAAATTAATTTACTGTACTTAAAATGAATATGAATTTAAGAATAATTTCATCTCAAAACTCTACTTAAAACACATACAACGTTCACTCTTCGTCTTCCTCCTAGTCCTATGATGTCTCTAGACAATAATCAAATCCCCTCCTCTCAAACAGCTAAATACATAGATCTAACAATTGACCAATGACTCACGTGGTCACATCACATTAAAATTAAAAGACTCACCTTAAATGCTCGACTCCGCATCCTTACTTCTAACAACAAACACATCCATTAAATACTAAACTTTTAATTTATAAATCTATATTCAAGCTGATATAGACTTATGGTCTTCAGCTTTGGGGCAATGCCAAAAAATCCAACACTAATAAAATTCAAACCTTATTTTATATACCGATCTAAAAATCAAAACAGTTCATGAAGAAGCAGCAAATTTTAACAAAAGATTCCATTCAAAGCTTCCTTCTCATACCAGGGACTCAAAAGAAATGATATCAAGTTATTCTCACTGTTTAATCTAAAGTATTAGTATACAAAAAAATGAAATCTTAAGTAAGGCCATTGTACCAGAGGGTGGCTTCTTCCATCAAATAATCATGTATCTATTTTCTGTTATCAAATATTTTTATTGTTTCTAAAAGAACAGATTGTATATACCAAATAAAATTTAAAAAATTAACACTATATAAACAGATATTGATATAAGTTCTAAAAATATCTGTTGTTGGAAAAAATATTAAATAAAGAGGTTCCTAAACTCAGAGTCACTATTTAACTTTTGATAAGTCACATAAAATTATGAAAATATTTTTATTTTATTTTTAATATTACATTTAATATTAACTATACATTAGATCAGCATTTCTTAAAATGTGTGAACCTTGGTATTCCAAGGAGATCACTTCAGGGTTATGCTAAAATTCAGTTTTTTTTTTTTTAATTTTTAAGAAAATTACTTTTAAAAGTCTAACTAAAAATTAGTAGMAGCGAGTGTAGAAAAAGTTTGTATATTAAATAACAATGATAAATAATATTTAACATTAAATAATGACATAATATTAGAAGATAATTGAGCTGTAATAACTTATTGTTGAAAAACTAAATAAAAAAAGCTATTAAGCTAAAAAAAAAATTAAAAAGTAGGGGTTTCACAATAAAATTGGACATAAGAAAGGGTTCCACRAATAAAAAAGTTTAAAAAATGTTTAGATGATTGAAAAATAATATATTTTGTATGTATATGCACTACAACATTTTTCAGTATACTTTTTGTTAATATCCATAAATTAATTATTTTTTATGATGATGATTGCAAAATAAAATTAATGTTTAATAATGTGRTCAAAAAAGACGAAATTGAAAACAATTATATATTTTTTATAAAATATAATTGTTATTATTAGATATTAAGAGGACGCCACACCCGCATGTGTTGTCTCCGTCGTACAAATGCGTAGCATAGCAAATTTTACGCTTAGCAGATCACGTTTAGCACCGTTAATTTAAAATTTAGAGTGAATTGACCTATTATAAAAATTAAAGGTAAGATTATTACCGAGGGCATCTCATAAGCTTTTTATTTTATTTTAATTTTAAACCGAGTTATGGTTATTTTAAAATTGTAAATTATTTTTATATCTAAAAATACTCATAACTCGGTTTAAAATTAAAATATAATAAAAAGCCTATGAGATGCCCTCGGTAATAATCTTGCCTTTAATTTTTATAATAAGTCAATTCACTTTAAATTTTAAATTAACGGAGATAATCGTGATCTGCTGAGCGTAAAATTTGATATGCTACGCACTTGTACGGGGGAGACAACACATGTGGGTGTGGCGTCCTCTTAAGTACAATATCATTTGGCAAWTGTCAAATTTAAATGTTTTCTAATATGAGTTGTCGGTTGTGCTATAGAAAGTTTGGAACCACTAAATTAAGATATAATTATATTGAATTTCTAAATAAAATATCACAAGATTAAATATTTAATTTCTTTTTAAATTGTAAAAACTAGATTATATCTATATTTACTGGTAAGTTTTGTAAAAGGTTTTAAATTTATTATTATTTTATTTTAACATTGACCATTAAAACTACAAGTTTTAAACTTACTACTAATGATCTAACTTATTTCATTTTAAGAAAATATTAATTAATAAAACTCATGAATATGCACTGTTACTGGAAGTCTAAAGTGTGATAAATCTTAATAATAATCTTAATTTTTCTAATTCAATTTTTTTTAAATCTTTTTTTTTATTGAAATAAACCTACAATCTATACACAATCTTTGTACAATGAGTAGGTTTGATAAGTGAAAAATAAGTAAGTAACTTGAATCGTGTGATTATGGAGGATACCCAGTGGTAATACCCTAAAAATCTAATTTCTATAGTACCTATATTTATTTACTAATAAAGATTATTTATAATATAAGTTGTCACTATTATCTATTAAAACAGACCCAAAGAATTAAATTGTAAAATATGAAATGGGCGAATATTTAAACATACATGGCTTGATTTAAAAAGAAAACAAATTAAAATATTTGTATCAAATAATTTAACAAAAATAGATGGAATACAATAAGATATTAAACTACATAGAAAATCAAGACAACTATGACGAGCAGAAAAATTAACATTAAAAAAAAAAATCTAATTATTAAAAAAATTAATTAGTGTTCACGCTTGAATTATAATGATTATCATTATTAGATTTTACAATGTTAAAATAAAAAACAGTTTTCTACATATTAAAGTTTAATTTAACTTATTTGGATTTTAATTGAAATATGATTTATGAATTTTATGAATTAAAATTTAGAAAAGAATAATAATTAGAAAAATACCTACAATCAGAGCCCAATTTAGGAATTTTGGGACTCTGGTCAAATTTTTTAATGGGGCCCCAAAATTAATTAGTATCTAAATTTTAAATAATCAACTTAAATTATAAATGTAGTCTTTATGCTATATAGATTTGTWATATTCAATTTATTTAAGATTATAAATCAATTATACCATAATAAGGCTATAAGTAATATGTTGCTTTAGATTAAGGGTTGTCAACCTTTTCAAATAAGTGAGCTATGTTCTTAATTTTAAAACTGATGATCGACATATATTTATTTATTTGCATTTTTTTATACTARAACATGAAGTTTATACAATATAATGTATTGTGTATACTACATTAATTTTTATTGCAATCGACCTATAGTCCTATAAAGATTGGCTGATTGGTGACGCTTTCTTAATTCCTGATTTCAATTTGTAAAAGTTTTTTAACAATTTAGAAAAAAACCTGACAAGAAATTTGGTTTTGGTTATTTTTGATTGAATATTTGTAAAAAATTTGGAACAGTCATGACGTTTARACGCTGTTTGTAAAACCGTTTTGATGCGGCGTTCAAACCCCGCGTCTAGCATCGACTAGCCGCAAGGTCCGAACGCTGCAAGGAAAACGTACCTTAATTATTTAATGACAATTAATAAAAATAAAACAATGAAAATAAAAATATAAATATAAATAAAGAAGTGTCGTTGCATAAATTGTAATCATAACGATATAAAGTGCTTTTGACCAACTTTATCTTAAAACTTAATAGCTTATTTTATCGATTAGAGAATAGTCATAAATTCCATTACGATACCTACGTGACTAACGAAACTACGTAACCAGTAATATCATACAATTATTTCAAAATGCCACTTTAATAATTAAATATCAACAAAGGCCCAGGGCTACAGCCCCCTAGCCCCCCCCCCCTAAGTTGGGCTCTACCTACAATATATTATATTGAACTGCTCAAAGCAATAGAGAATCAAAATTCTAATGGATAAATTATTAAAATTTCAAATTATATAATTATAATATATAAAGCAAAGCTATATTTAATTTGTTTAATTTAACATGTAAAATAATTAATTTCAGTAAGTCAAACTTTATAATAAATTAAAAAACTACTTCATATTTTATCTAATAAACTAAAATGAAAAACTAAAATAAATTTAAACAAATTATTAAAACTGTTTTAAACTTTGTTAGAGCAGCAGTTCCCAATTGGTGGTCCAGAGACCCCTGGTGTCCACATTTTGATGTTAAGGCGTTAGTGGGGATTTTTTATTATTATGTTACTAACGGAAGTCACCCTCTTCCATTTGAATAACAGAAGAGCAAACCAAGAGATACGGGTACAGTTTGGAGAGCAGTTAGTGAAAAGCAACTCTTACCCAAAGTACTTGGGTGTGGTACCAAACAGAACGCTAGTATATTCAGCTGCGGAATACTGCACCCCAGTATGCATAAATAGTGCACATACCAATAAACTTGACATACAGCTCAACTCAGCAATGAGAATCATAGGGGGAACATTAAAATCTAACCCTTTAAAATGGCTTCCAGTACTGAGCAATATAACTCCTCTTAAGATTTGAAGAGAACAAGCTCTTATCCGGGAATGGACTAAAATCAATAATAAAAAGAGCCTCCCAATACACGCGGATGTAAGATTAAATGTGGATAGACTGCGACTTAAGTCACGCAAACAATCCTGGAAAACCGCAGAGATGCTGTTACAGAAAAATACCCGGGGAAATACCAAATGGCTTGAGGATTGGTTGGTGGAGAACCCTGATGGACAAAACATTGTTACCAATCCAACTTCCAAACAACCAGGCTTCGATCTGCCTAGACAAATTTGGGCAACCTTAAATCGCATTAGGACCGGCCATGGAACGTGTAATCACATGATGTTTAAATGGAAATTACATACTACTCTTTCATATGACAGTGGGAATGATAAGCAAACTATCTTTCATATAGCAACTGAATGCCCGAACCGTTCTTTCAAAGGCACTTTAAATGATATCCATACAACTAAAGAGGATGTAATTGATTGGATACAAAATCTGGACATTAATTTATAGTCTATAGCTTCAAATTTATCCCAGCTATATTAGTTACCATTTGTCATATTATTATTATTATTATTTATATTTTTGTTAATATTTACATATTTAAAATTGTTGCTCTACTCTGTCAACAAAATATATATATATATATATATATATATATATTATTATGTTATTTTTTATTTTAATGAAATTATTAGATTAGTAATTGTTTGAAATTCCAGAAATTTAGTACTAGGCATTGAAATTTGATTATCGCATAAAAGATAATCAATACATTTGCAATCACAATCAGTATTTATTAAAAGAGAAAAGTAAGTACTTATTTACAAAAAAAAGTCCCAAAATCAATTTAAGTTTTCATCCTAGGCTTCATCTTACTGGGGAGCCACTGTATTAAATCATAAATTATAAAAAAAAACAAACATTTCAATAAGTTACAGTATAAAATCCATATTATCTATAAATGCAATTTTATTTGCCAGCGCTTATTGTGTTTATATATTTTTAAATACATACATTAACTGATTTGAATAATAATTATTTTCAAATAAAAATAGTTTTAATTTATATGAATTTGATTTTTAGAGAAATTAGAAGTATTTGATAAATACCTAGGAGGCTAGAAATATTATTTATAATTTAATTTTAATTTAAAATCATATTGAGTCTCAACTAAATTAACTTTATTGTTAATTCCTTAATACCAATTTTATATAAAATTAATATAATTTAATCAAAAAAATAATATGAAATATTATACTCATACAGAATAAAAAAACATTTGTAACTTTTCAGATGATATTTTTACTGAAGTAAAATCACTATTGCTTAATTTATATTTTAGATATTATTATATTTACT